TACCTCTGTCTGGCTTCCTGGCTTTTAATCCCCTTTCTCCTGCTCTTTTGCCCTGCTGTTTTGTGCGTCCCTGAGTTGTCTCTGGGGCTGACTGCTCCTCTGTCCAGGTTCCTGGCTTTTTATCCCCTTTCTCCTGCTCTTCTGGCCTGCTACTCTGGGCAGGACTGAGTTGCCTCTTCTCACCTAATCCCTTCGGCTGACTGCTCTTCTCTCTGGCTTCCTGGCTTTTAATCCCCTTTCTCCTGCTTTTCCAGCCTGCTACTTCCGGCATCCCTGAGTTGTCTCTCCTCACCTGTAACCCTGGGGCTAAACAATGGGTTAGGCACACCTTAGTCTTTAAGGAGACATCTTTGCTCTTCAGCACTTTAAAGAGATCTTTTGCAGCGTAGTTTCCCAGTGCAGTATGTCTTTTGATGTTTTGACTGCTACTTCCATTGGTTTGATTGTGGAACCAAGTAATAAGAAATCTTTGACAGCTTCACTCTTTTTTCTGTTTATCATGATGCTGCTTTTTGGCCCAGTTGTGATGATTTTCACTTTCTTTATGTGGAGATATAAACCATACTGCAGACTGCAGTCTTTAATCCCCACCACTAAGTCCAGTCATCCTCACTTTCAGCAAGCAGAGTTGTGTCACCTGTGTGTATAGATTGTTAATGAGCCTTTCTCCAATCCTGATGTCCTGCTCTTCTTCATATAGTCAAACTTCTTAGATTATTTGCTCAGCATACAGAAAAGTATGGTAAAAAGATACAACAACTCTCACACACTCCTTTCCTGATTTTAAACCTGCCATGTTCCCTTCTGTTCGAACGACAGCCTCCTAGTTTATATACAGGTTCCTCATGAGCACAATTCAGTACTCTGGAATCCATTCTTCTCAATATGATCCATAATTTGTTATGATCTGCACAATCAAATGTTTTTGCATAGTCATTAAGACACGGGTAAACATCTTTCTGGTATTCTTTGCTTTTAGCCAAGATCCATCTGACATCTGCAGTGATATCCTTCATTCTACATCCTCTTCTGAATTCAGCTTGCATTTCTCGAAGTTGTCTGTCTGTATACAGCTGCAACCATTTTTGAATTATCTTCAGCATGATTTTACTTGTGTGTGGTATTAATGATATTTTATATGAATATTCCAACTCATAGGGACCCCTATTGGTTTTCCAAGGCTCTAAAGCTTTAAGGCAGTAGATCACTTCATCTTCCTCCCATGGAGCAGCTGGTGGGTTTGAACCTTCCACCTTCTGCTTAGCAGCCAAATCCCTTAATCGCTGCACCAGCCGAGCTCCTTTGAAATACTCATAAAAAGAACATGTTAAATGACTGCAGTGATGAGTTTGTTTCCAGTTTGGTTGCCCTTTATTTAAAATACAACTACTGATCTGCATCTACTGGGAGTTCTTTTATTTAGGCTGTAATATCTTTAAAAGGTTAAATTTTGGGGGTCTTTAATAATTTTTTTAAAAAAGAAGTTTTCAAAATACACAGAGCTACTGAGAGCACTTTAATGAACCTTCTGTGGAAGCTTTACCAGTAACAATAACTCATCACGTAGCCAGTGTTGTTTTATCTATTTCTTCCCACCCCAGCCATTCCTACTGCATTATTTTTAAGCAAATCAGATTGCTTTATTTGTAAATTACTCAGGAAATAGGTTTTTATGGGTCTAATTCTGAAAAACCATCACTTTATTTTTGGCAGGACATTTTGGCATCTAGATCATGGCAACCATAGAAGAAATTGCACATCAAATTATTGAACAGCAAATGGGAGAGGTATGTGTATTTTACATCTCATTCACTGACTTACTAAATTCGTTACTTACACCAAAAGTGTATGCAGTGTTCTGGAGAAGAGAGCTCAAAGATACCCATGACTTTCAGTTAGCTTTTCAGTCTCCTAAAAGATGGTTGAACAATCAATCATAGTAGAATGTGGTAAGTGCTGTGATAGATAATTATATAGGGTATTATAATGGAGGAAAAGAGCTAGTAAAGAATAAACACAGAGGAAAAACAGCTAATAAAGAATCATAGAAGGAGGTGAGGAGTAGTGTTAGGAACCTGGATAGGCAATGGTTTTTTGGAGAGCATGAAATCTGAGGTCAATATTGATGGACCAAACCCCACAGCTGTTAAGTCAATTCTGACTCATAGGGTTTCTAAGGCTGTAAATCTTTATGCAAACAGATTGCCCTGTCTTTCTCCCACGGAGTGGCTGGAGGCTCAAACTGCCTGCCTGTTGGTTAGCAGCTGAGTGCTTACCACTGCACCACCAGAGCTCCTATTGATGGATCAGTAGGAATTAATCTATGTCAGTAGAAAACAGATCATTTTTCAAATGGTCATGTGCTATTTCTTGGCCAAAACCCCTTGCCATCAAATTGATTCTGACTCATATTGATTCTGTAGGCCTCGTGCTGATTCTGTAAAGTAGAACTGCCCCATATGGTGCCTAAGACTATACTCTTTATGGGAGCAAACTGCCACATCTCTCTCCAATGAACATCTGACTTTCTGGTTGGCAGCCAAGCACTTTAACCATTGAGCCACCAGGGCTCCTTATTTCTTAGAAAGAAGTACCATATCCACAGGTTCTCAGAGTACGATCTGGAGATTCTTTCAAAGAGTTAGCATTGGCAAAGCCATTTTTCTAATAATGGTAAAATTTATTTTACGTTTTCATTCTTATCCTCTACCATGTGTACCAGGGAATTGTCCAGAGGCTATCAGTATCATCTGATGATACTGTGTGATGAAATGTGTCAGCATTTAAAAGGTCTGCATATCTCAGTTAACCATTGTTTTCTAAATGACTGTTGTATGATGTTACAAAATCATTTATGACTAAGGGATCCATTCAAAGTGGAGGATAGACTAATACTAATAGATTTTTAATGTGGTATTGGGTTTTACATTACAACTAATTTTTAAAAACTCAGTTGTTAAATTTTGGTATAATACCAGACCAGGTTCAACAGTCATCTGAAATGATTATTAAAATACTCTTCTGTTTTTTAACTAATAAGTATGACACTGGATTTTCTTTTTATACCTTAACCAAAACAACATACTGAATAGATTGAATGCAGAGGCAGATAGGAGAATCCAGCTGTCTTCTATAAAGCCAAACATTAAGGACATTAGCAAAAATGTAAAACAATGCCACTTTTCCTACTATATTTTTTTTTTGTTTGGGGAAATACTTATTTTTCATAAAAAAAATATTTATATTAGGATGTAATGAGTTTATTCCTTTTAAATGAATGGATAGATACTTAAATTTCTCAGTTTGAATTTGGTCATTGTAACTATCAATATGAATGAGCCACATAAACAAAAACCATTTGGAGCCTTCACTAATTTCTTAAAGTTTAAAGGGATTCTGAGGACTGCTTCCATAATCTATTGTTTTTCTCTATTGAAGACCATTTAGATCATCTCTCATTTCTCAATTATTACCATTATGCTGCAGCGAACTTCCTTTTACTCATACAAGCAGAATGTTTCAACTTTGCGACATTTGTACCCTGCATCCATCTAATACTCTTTTCTCTAAGCAATTAAGCTGAGGCTTTAGGCTTTTATTGACAATGACTGTTAGTGATAGAAATGATCCACCATAAAACTGACAAGAGCTTAAACTATACATGCTAACATTTTTTATAGTTGAATTGATTCAAAGTCAGATCTTATACGTAACTTTGAAAATTGAAGAAATTGTCAGGGTGATGGAAACCGGACTTGATAAAATATCCCAGATAAGATAAAATTGGCAATAGTTAAAACTACACCCAGAAAAATAGGACATGGTAGAAATAACAGTCACCAAAGAAAACTCAACTTGGCAGATGCTGTAATCAGTACAATTTGCTATAGACAAAAACTGATAAGTGAATCAGATCTTTGTTTTAAATTTTGCATGGAAAAGAATATTGATGAAGATAATTTCTGGAAAATGAAAATGGAAAAAGGTTTGAAACAAATCAACATTGCCATTTCAAAAATTAATCATGGGATTAAACTGGCATACTAGTTTACTCTGGAAAGTATTTGTTCAACAACAACAATTTAAAAAAAAACTTCTCAGTCCTTGCTCTTCTCCAGTCTACTGTGTCTCAATGCACAGTGCTTCTGTTTTCCCAGTCACTCAGGCCAGAATTTTGTAGTCATCCTTGACTCTTCTCTCTTCGTAGTCCATATCCAGTTTATCAGTGCATCTAGTCATCTCTCCCTTCAAGAAAACCCCAAATCCAGTCACTTTTTACCT